TTGAATAAATAACATTGAATAATTTGATAATTAGATAGCCCATTAAAAATAAAATGCAACAACATTAAAAAGTCAACAATATAAATATTGGGATAGTTCTAATTTATCGAAACAAAACTCAAAATTGAGTAAATAAATACCTAAAATTAAAACATTTACTAGCTGTAAGTGGAATTCTGTCTTAAGGCAATTAAGGCATCGTGCCTTAAGGCAAATTGCTGGAACTTCCCGTACCAAAAATTATTATTTTTTTAAAAACGATTAACATTTTTGAAAAAAATTTACTTCGAAAAAATTAGATTTTTGAGAAACTATAAATTTGGCAAAAATTTACTTTTTTATGAAAAAAAAATTTTTTTTTTGAAAACAAAATTTTCTTGAAAACAAAAATGTTTCCTTAATTTTTACACATTTTGGAAATTCTGAACTTTTTTTCAAAGCAATCGTACTGCTTGAACTGCATAGAGACGAAATGTCAAAGCGCGCAAGTGCCGCGCCGCCGTCTGACGCATAAGCATTGGTACGGAACCCATAAAAATGTAAAAAAAAATTATACTTATTGTTAAAATCTCTATAAAATATCTGATAATTTGATGTGCATATGTCTAATGATCATTTTTAACCGCCGAATGGCATTTTATTTTACTTTTTTCATTAGATCTCCGAAACCGCTAGACCTGCCTTTATGAAAATTTGATTAATTTTTCATCTTGTCAATACAAGTGAAATGTTTTTTGAATTATTCAAATCGGACGCTCCGTTCTCTTAAAAACTGAGTTACCGTTTTCGGCACTTTTTGCCCCGTATCTTCGGAACGGTTAGACTAGCCTTCGCCAAAAACTAATCAGCACGTCTCCTTATCAATACGAATCGAATGTTTTTTGAATTATTCAAATCGGTTGATCCGTGTTCCCGAAATCGTCGACGAAAATTTGTATCCGCACATACATACACACACCTACATACATACATACATACATACATACATACATACACACATACACACACACACACACATACATCCATTTTTTCTAAGGTATGCCAAAATGTTCAGAAACCTCTGAAACGTAAAGATATATAAAAATTTTCATTTTCGATTTTTTTGCGATTACTTTAACTTGCCCTACGGGAAGTTAATAAAACAATTCAATAAGGTATTCTTAAAAATTATATAGAGGTCTCATAAACTAAACAACGACAGTTTTTTACAAGATTACATTAAATATGAAAAAAAATACATTCTATAAATTTACAACATGAATATTTATCTTCATTTGAAGATAACAAAACAATTATTAACTTCCCGTAGGGCAAGTTATAGTGATCGCAAAAAAATCGAAAATGAAAATTTTTATATATCTTTACGTTTCAGAGGTTTCTGAACATTTTGGCATACATTAGAAAAAATGGATGTATGTGTGTGTGTGTGTGTGTATGTATGTATGTATGTATGTACGTGTGTGTATGTATGTGCGGATACAAATTTTCGTCGACGATTTCGGGAACACGAATCAACCAATTTGAATAATTCAAAAAGCATTCGATTCGTATTGATAAGGAGACGTGCTGATTAGTTTTTGGCAAAGTCAGGTCTAGCCGTTCCGAAGATACGGGGCAAAAAGTGCCGAAAACGGTAACTCAGTTTTTAAGAGAACGGAGCGTCCGATTTTAATAATTCAAAAAACATTTGACTTGTATTGACAAGATGAATAATTGATCAAATTTTCATGAGGGCAGGTCTAGCGGTTTCGGAGATCTAACGAAAAAAGTAAAAAAAAATGCCATTTGGCGGTCAAAAATGGTCATTAGACATATGCACATCAAATTATCAGATATTTTATAGAGATTTTAACAATAAGTATAAATTTTGTTTGCATTCCTATGGGTTCCGTACCAATGTTTATTCTCTAGACGGCGACGCGGCGCTTACGCGCTTTGACATTTTGTCTCTATGCAGTTAAAGCAGTACGATTGCTTTGAAAAGAAGTTCAGATCTTCCAAAATATGCCAAAATAAGGAAAACATTATTTTTTCCAAAAAAAAATTAAAAAAAAAAAATTTAATTTTTTTTTTAAAAAAAATTTTTTTTTTCAAAAAAAAAGTAATTTTTTGTCCAATTTATAGTTTCTCACAAATCTTATTTTTTCGAAATAATTTTTTTTTTAAAAATCGTTTTTAAAAAAATAATAATTTTTGGTACGGGAAGTTCCAGCAATTTGCCTTAAGGCACGATGCCTTAATTGCCTTAAGACAGAATTCCACTTACAGCTAGTTTAAACTATAATAATTTCACGTAACTAGTACTTTAATCTGAATAATATTAATTATGCGGCAAAAAAACAACAACAGTGCTCACAACCTAAAAACAAACAACGATAAAACATACTTTTGCTATGGTTTTACAAACATAGCCGTTTATCTCTATAGGTGATGACTAGCTATACATCTTTTTCCCTCTACCTTCCTAGACCTTAATATAATTTTTAATTATACTTTCTTTAATTATTTTATCAGATATATTATTAATTTAGATTCAATTCATTATAAGTTGGATTCAACTGTTTTTTGATTTTTGATTTCAAAAATGATCAACTGAACCTTTATCTTGGCAAAGATGTAAACAATAACTAGCTGTAAGTGGAATTCTGTCTTCAGGCAATTAAGGCATCGTGCCTTAAGTCAAATTACTGGAACTTCCCGTACCAAAAATTATTATTTTTGTAAAAACAATTAACATTTTTGAAAAAAATTTACTTTGAAAAAATTAGATTTTTGAAAAACTATGAATTTGACAAAAAATTGATTTTTTTTGAAAAAAAAAAATTTTTTTTAATGCAAAATTTTTTTGAAAAAAAAAATGTTTTCTTCATTTTGACATATTTTGGAAATTCTGAACTTTTTTTCAAAGCAATCGTACTGCTTGAACTGCATAGAGACGAAATGTCAAAGCGCGCAAGTGCCGCGCCGCCGTCTAACGCATAAGCATTGGTACGGAACCCACAGAAATGTAAAAAAAATTATACTTATTGTTGAAATCTCTATAAAACATCTGATAATTTGATGTGCATATGTCTAATGATCATTTTTAACCGCCAAATGGCATTTTTTTTACTTTTTTCATTAGATCTCCGAAACCGCTAGACCTACCTTTATGAAAATTTGATCAATTCTTCATCTTGTCAATACAAGTAAAATGTTTTTTGAATTATTCAAATCGGACGCTCCGTTCTCTTAAAAACTGAGTTACCGTTTTCGGCACTTTTTGCCCCGTATCTTCGGAACGGCTAAACCTGCCTTCGCCAAAAACTAATCAACACGTCTCCTTATCAATACGAATCGAATGTTTTTTGAAATATTCAAATCGGTTGATCCGTGTTTCCTAAATCGTCGACAAAAATTTGTATCCGCACATACATACACACACGCACATACACACACACACATACATCCATTTTTTCTAAGGTATGCCAAAATGTTCAGAAGGTTTTGAAACGTAAAGATATATAAACAATTTCATTTTCGATTTTTTTGCGATTACTATAACTTGCCCTACGGGAAGTTTAAAAAATAGTAAATAAAAAAGTAAATTAAGTTGAAAAAAGCAATTTTATAAGAGACAAATTAAATCAATAGTTATTCAAATCCTGGTGATAAATATTTCTGACAAAATACCAGATCAAGGTTATATACAGTGTTATTTTTGTAAAAAATGTACCCATAAAATATATATATATATATATATATATATATATATATATATATATATTGCATTGGTTGAATATTTTAGCTATTATTTTGTAATTGTTTTTTTAAATTAAAGATAAGACTTTGTTTGCCTGATTTAAGAATCTGTTTGCCTCTTAGCTCTCCTATTTTATTATCGGGTAAAAAGGACCAGGTGACAAATTTTTGTAAAACAGAAAAAACATATTTCTACAATTAGCTAGGAGTTTTACTGAACATAGTCAGATACATGTTTGTTTGATATGTGTTATTTTTTGTAATCTAATTGGTTTGGTTTTCACAACGTAATTGCTCAAAATCAAATTGGACCTTTGTGCCTTATCGGAAGGCAAACTAAGGTTTCCAGTTATAATTATATTTTACATATTTCAAATTAGCATTTTTGACTTAACTTTTTCATAAACCTTCGTTTCAAAAGTATATCATAATTAATTAGTACTATCTGTGACAAAATACAAATATCTGGCTCAATGGCTAGTTTGTTTCGCTTAATCCGAATTAAGCCAGTAGAGTTCACTTCATTTCAATCGAATCAAATGACGCGATTTTAGTGATGCGAATCATTCGATCTGCTGATTCCAATTGCTGCCGAGAGGATTTTAATCCATCATTACATCTATATTATATTATAATTTTCAATTCGCATTCATAGAAAATTCATTATTTCGGTTTATGCAACAGATGCAGCTGTATTTGTTGTAAACAGTTCTCGAATAGATAATATAATAATTAATTTTGCGTATACTTCATTAAATAGAAAACTACGTAGAAAATATGAAACCATAAAATTCAAAAGTGCGATTTACTCGTGTGTTATCCGTCCATATATTGGCTGAAGAATTCTGGAATTGTGGAATGTTGATGGTTAATGACAGCTGTTATATTAATAATTTTTCTTAAATTGACAAAAATGTATAAACAAAAATTATTTATAATTATGTATTTTTCTGATTTATTCATTTGCGTTCTTTTATTGTTGTTTTTGATGCGTTGGAATATATAGCTCCTTATAGCTCTGTACTTTTATACAGTTTTTTTCATTTTTTACCGTATTTTTTAAAATGTATTATAGTATGTTTTGCATTATTTTTTTAAATGAAATTGAAAAGCTGAAGCGATATGCATATGTTATTGTGTGTCACGATTGTATTAATATTTTGAATTTTTGTTATGGCAGAGCTTGACGCTTGGCGAGCACCTGAACGGGTGCAGGGGTCAGCACCATGTGATCCCCCGAAGTGCAAACGCGAGCCGCCGGTACACCATGGAAACGGTGGATATATTAAATGCATCTTCAACCGCGTTGCCCACGCAAGGCTACCGCTATTCGATACCACAGATGGTCATCATTGCAATCGTCGCCAGTATCCTCAGCCTGTTGACGGTCATTGGCAATTGCATGGTGATGATATCGTTTAAAATCGACAAACAGCTGCAGACGATCTCCAATTACTTTTTATTTTCGCTGGCTGTGGCGGACTTTGCGATTGGCCTGATATCGATGCCCCTGTTTACGATAACGACGATCCTGGGATATTGGCCGCTCGGTCCACACATATGCGATACGTGGCTGGCGCTAGACTACCTGGCGTCCAATGCCTCCGTCCTGAACCTGCTGATCATCAGCTTCGACCGTTACTTCTCGGTCACGCGCCCGTTAACGTATCGCGCGAAACGGACCACCGGACGGGCGGCGGTCATGATTGCAAGCGCGTGGGGCATCAGCTTGCTCCTCTGGCCCCCTTGGATCTACAGCTGGCCGTACATCGAGGGGGAGAGAACAGTGCCTAATACAGAATGTTACATTCAGTTCATTGAAACAAATCATTACATCACCTTCGGGACGGCGATCGCCGCGTTCTATGTGCCGGTCACTGTCATGTGTATATTATATTTTAAAATTTGGCGGGAGACGAAGAAACGGCAAAAGGATCTGCCAAACCTGCAAGCCGGCAAGAAAGATAGTTCGAAACGATCCAATTCCAGGTACATTATATACACAATTTATCGCAATATATATATACATGCACACGCACATACACCCAGATATATATATATATATATATATATATATATATATATATATATATATATATATACCTATATACTTATTGCCTTTATGCAAATTCAAGTTTCTTCACTAACTATAAATACATGACTTTTACTTTACTTACTTTCAAAATTTGTTCATGTATTCAAATAGTTTTCATTGAACTTTTTGTAATTTCAAGTTTCTTACCAATTAATGAAAATTATTATATATTACTTGCACATATAACTTATGTCAAATAACGATTTTAATTTTAGAACTATCACTTTAATAGTATCACAATTTTACACAATCTTTGAAAAACTTGAATTGCTGTATATTGAATTTCTATTTTAATTAATTATTAGTAATTTTCGAAAAATTATTGAACGAATTTTATTTTTAAAACAACAATTTCAAACTTATCTGATTTTAAAAAATACAAGAATCAGCAAACGCAGTTTAGTTGTAAGATATTTTAGCAATTGTTCTTAATGACATAGGAATGCCATACAGAATTAGTTGTCAGTTTCGGAAAAAATAGAACTTGTTACGTACACTTGCTGAAAGCGTCCACTAGTCGGGAAAAGATTATGTAATAAAATAATAAAATATAATAATAAATTATAAGTAGTAAAAAATGATTCAAAATCGATCATTATATTAAAACAGCGCAAAAAGAAATGCAGTTTCTTATAATTTCAACCTTATTATTATCGAGTATCGCCAATTCTCGACTTTTATTAACAAGAACGTGCCGGTCATATACTAAAATTGCTTCAGCTTCTTCCCGGCTGTAAACATGGCTATAAAATGATTTATTACATCTAAAAAACGAATTTAATTAGAGACAATTTTCCACAACGACTATGTAAAGGTAAACTGTGCAAGATAATTAATTGATTAGTAAAATAATCCGCGGGTTGAAATAAGTGGTCGATGCAAATTCATTAATTAAAACTAATACAACTGACACAAATAGGAATTCAAACTTTTTATGTTTATTTAAATATCAATATATTTGTTTTAGCTAATTTCCAGGACTTTACAAATTATAAACTGAAGTGCAAAAACAATAAACTAGAACAAATGCGGAAATGAACCCAGAGAGTTTATATCTTTTGTCGAAAAATACAATCGAAATTTTAAATTCACATTTCATTTATTAAATTTATCATTTAAATAGATATGAAACCGATTTCGGTTTTTTGTATTTTCGGTTTACCAAGTAATCAAAACCGGTTAAATTTTAAATTTATATAACCTTTTACTTTTAATTTAAAATTCTAGATTTTAGACATTTGAAAAGTAGTTTCAATCTCAATTTTTAAAGCTTACGATATTTGAAACGTTTGATTTTTAAAGCATTTTATATTAAATTACGATTACGTATAATCATTTTCACGATAATTTTTTGAAATCTATATTTTGTTTATCATAAGTTTCTTTTGCAATATACTTTGAATAATAATTAAAAGTTAAAAAAACATTTAAATCTTGTAACTGTATACTTAGTCTCGCGTCATTAGAATCATTTTGAAACTTCAAGTAGTTTCAAAATAACTTTGAAGATGGAATACATTCCAATTAATAATTCTTTAGATATTTTTTGGTTCAATGCTTTATATTGTTCGATTGTTATGTACGTGCAAAAATCAAAATTCTGAATAAAAAAACTATTCAGATCAGAAATAAAATTCCATATATTTGTAAAATAACTCATCTCTTCCACATACATTGCATATCGTTGTTATTTGTGCATATACGTGCACAATAAATGCGAACCATGAACATCAACATGAAAATTCCAAAGCCGAACAGGTTTCTCTATCAAGTAATTGAAAAGCTTTGGTTCTAACCGCAAGTTTTAATGACATATATGTTTACTTATTAGTTTCATAATGATATAGCTTATGTTTATCCTAATATTTATAAGTCTTCAGTGCACATGTGTATATACATACTTTTCCTTCCATTGTAGCGATGAAGCGACGCATGTAAATCATACCGGGGAATGGGCGAGGCCGCGCAGCGAGTCGGCGGGCGACCCTGACGACGGCTGCGGGAACACGACCGACTCGGGAGGAACGTACGTCAAACGCACGGGGGTGAGTGCATACGCATTTATTAACACGTACCGAGGCGTAGATTCGATCGAATATCGATAATATTAAAAAATATATCTATTATCGGCGCTAACATCGTAATGTGTATGTTAAGATTAAGAGCAGTGCTTTTTTACTTTCAAATTGGTCAAAGTATTAACATAACAATAAGGTGACCATATTTTTTAATACAATCAAAATCAGTTTTTTAAAATGAATAGATTTTTATCATAATTACTGACTTTTAATAGGACTTTATTATTCCATTATGTGTTAATATAACTTATATCACATCTTATATTCTTTTATCTGTATTTTTTTTCTTTTAAGCCTTGTATAAAATTCATTTTAATTTTCTTCATAATTAACTCATTGTTAGTAAAAAATAATCATTTGTATCAGGCAGTTATAAAGTTCGTTTTCATAATTTTTGCTAATTTTCGTAAAATTGAAAACGAAAGTTGGAAATTATTAACGTGACATGTTATTTAACGCTCCTATGAAATTTTGTATTCGGCAATTTTTTTATTCATAATGTATTGTTTCATATAAGCTCGTTGCATATATCATTTTCACATAATAGTTTGTCAAATATCTCCCTTCCGCCTTTTTGTATTATAAACCATACAAAAAAGCGGAAGGGAGATATTTGACAACTTAATATTTGATGGGTAATTATAATTTTATTATCAAGTAAGAGCGAAAATTCAATTTAAACCTTTAAATAAAAGCTTTAACTCTAGTACAAATATTGCTTTTAGAAAATCCGGGACACTATGTGGGAATCCGGGACTGCCCCGGCTAAACCGGGACGTATGGTCATCTTATTATTAAAGAACAATTCTTCTGAAATACCTCCTAAATTTTAACGACATTTAACAAGCTTCCAACTTTATTTATTATGATTAAATTCACTAATGAAGCTAGGACTGTTTGTTCTTGAAATCGCAAATAAAATTTCAGAGATATAATAACGTTTCAAAACCTTCTAATCTGAAAAAAGTGACGTATGTGTGTATTGTGCTATATTTTTTCTGCCACATTTTTCGGCGAATGAAAATACCATTTTGAAAGAGAGTTAGTTTTTAGAAAATTATTTCAGAGATAAGGAAAAAGTGCAAAACAATTTCAGAGATAAGGAAAAAGCTTATACATGGGTGAGGTAAAAAGAACTAACTGAACCCTTACCCTGGTAACAAACAATAAAAAATAGTAAATAAAAAAGTAAATCAAATTAAAAAAAGCATTTTTTTGGATATAAGTTTAAAAAATAGTCATTCCAACTCTGCTTATAAATATTTCTTATGAAATAATAATTCAAGGTTATATACAGCTATTATTTCGTAAAAACCCTTTAAAATTAAAATTAAAACATTGGACCTGTATGCCTCCTGGCCGTCCCATTTTACCCCGTCCAGGGATAAAAAGAACCAGGTGTGGCAAATTTTTGAAAGACAGCAAAAAATTTATTTCTGCAATTTCTACATGATATATATATATATATATATATATATATATATATATATATATATATTAGTCTTGAGATATAAGGCTAATGATTAAAATTATTATTATTCAGTAGTAATATTGAAAATTCAATTACAGTTAGCGTTATTTCTGTGGTACGCCTCATGCGGAGGAGTTCGCGAGTGGTGCGTAGCTTGGTGGCACTCAGGCAGAGAGGAATACTATGAACCAGATCCGGAAGAACCGTCAGATCCTGGATACGCGACTCCGGTCTCTATCGAGACGCCGTTGCAGAGCTCAGTGTCGAGATGCACTTCCCTGAATGTGATACGCGACCCATACATGACGACAACGGAAGGGCGAACCTCGCCGCTGCCGCCGACTTACCTCTCTCACGCCTCGTCGCCGCCAACTACTCAAGATTCGGTTTACACCATCCTGATCAGGCTCCCCGGGGACGCAGACAAAGACGGACAAGATCGCACGCCTTCCATTAAAATGATATCCGAAGATATACCTCTAGCTATAGCTCATAAAGCTTGTTCATTAAAAGTCGATATGCAATTAGATCCATTATCAAGGAGAGCTTCGCATGCCTCACACATGCGTATTCCGCTCAATGCGAAAATCATTCCGAAACAGTTAGCTGAGAAACCGGTTGCAATAAGCGCACAAGCTAGACAGCAGGCCAAAAAGAAGAAAAAAACGCAAGAGAAAAAACAAGAAACAAAAGCAGCGAAAACTCTTTCAGCCATATTATTATCATTCATCATTACATGGACACCTTATAATATATTAGTGTTGTTAAAACCATTAACGGCTTGTACCGGGTGCATACCTCAAGAACTTTGGGACTTTTTCTATGCATTGTGTTACATTAACTCGACTATAAATCCCATGTGTTATGCATTATGCAATGCTTCGTTTAGACGTACATACGTACGAATTCTCACGTGCAAGTGGCATAATCGAAATCGTGAAGCCATGACCAGAGGCGTTTACAATTAAAAAAAATTGTACAAATTATTTTTTATTGTATTTACTTTAATTATTAATAATCGTTCTCACATATATGTAAATATTTATACCAAGATTATCGTATTGTGTATCATGTACAATATAGTATTCGAGCAGTGCTAGATGTTAATTTGTATCGACGTTTACTGTATCAACTCGATTGGTGTTGTAGTCGCCATATAGGGGCTGTGTTAGAATATATTTCCGCAAAAATGTAAAAAATAACCGTAACTTCAAACTATTAATATTAAGAATCCAAACGAACGAAACCTTTCCAAATCCCCTTCCCATTGAATGCAAATGTGTTTCTCAAACAAATTGTACATATTGCGAATTATTAGTATTTGATACTCCAGCGTGCTCAACTCTCAACTTCAATCATTTCACAGAGGGACAACTACTTGATCGCTGCGACATAGTGTTCCCTTAATATAATGTGAATAAAAAGTTGATAATATTAAAGCATAACAATATGAATGTTTCTTATATACATATATACTTTTAATTATATTATAATTCAATGTAATTTTGTAGAAAAATACATATTATGTGGTAAATTGTTTTGTATCATTAACTATTTGGATATTTCATTATATAAAGTTGATTTTGCAGTTTTAAAAAACTTCTTTCTGAGAAAAACTTGGTCTTCAAATCACAAATCGCATTCCTCTATGTTAATAGTTAACGTGCCTCATCTTTATCTAAATAAGCTTACACCCATGCCTTCGACATAACCATCTTAACAAATCTGACTGTTCAATAATTCTACTTCTGAAACTAACAAACTTAGTTATATATTTCAATCGAAAACCGAAATCATAACTGTTGGATATCAAGCTGCCTGATATTTAACCTGAGAATATCCATCTAATCGAAAATTTTTACGGTGCCCATTTAATAGAATCAAATTATTGTTTTATGGTAAAATATATAGGATATCTCCAGTATTAGTATTATATACTATGTTAATAACATTTATTATAAAAGAAAAATCAATTATTTTTGCTGTTATTTTAAAATACAAAATTCAGGTACAGGATATACTTATACAGGACATACATATTCAAAAATCCATATTTACGTCAAATTCATTACTTAATCTTTTTGGCAAAAATTTATTCATAGCATATAACAACAACAACGGTATTTGTAAATTGATGTGAGGCTACATTGTTAACATCCCGTAGGGTAATTAATTTCCAGTGTAAGTTATAGTGATCGCAAAAAATCTAGAATAAAAATGTTTATATATTTTTACGTTTTCAAGATTTCAGAACATTTTGGCAAAAAATGGATGTATGTGTGTGTGTGCGAATACAAATTTTCGTTGATGATTTCGGGAACACGGTTCAACCGATTTGAATGATTCAAAAAACATACGACTTTTATTGACAAGGAGATTCAACATTTTACTTGTATTGACGAAATAAACAAATAATATTTTTTTGGAAGGCATGTCTATAGGTTTCGGAGATCGAGTAAAAGAAGTAAAAAAAGACGGTCAGAACTGATTATTAAACATATGCACATCAAATTATCAGATATTTTATAGAGATTTTGATAATAACTACAAAATTTGTTTGCATTTCTATGGGTTCCGTACTAATGATTAACCGTTAGACTACGACGCGGCGCTTACGCGCTTCGATAGTTCTTCTCCAATATATATAATTGATATATATATATATATATATATATATATATATACAGTGGTACCCCGACTTACGAGTGTTTCGAGATATGAATCGCTAAAGGAGCGATTCCTTGCTTAGACATATGAGCATTCAGCGTGTAAAAATTTTCTGGAAAAATGTTAATGGCAAATAAAAACATAAAAAAATTTGTCAGTTGTTACAATGACTTTACTACCATAGAAATATTTCGGCTGTTTTATGATTGTAAATTATTTTAGCTATTTAAATTTATTTAATATATTATATTGATACAATTAATAATATTAATTGTATAGTAACGATTTACTCTCGCACATATTTCGAGAATTATTTTAACGTTTGTAATTTTAACTACACATTAATAGTGATTGTACAGTTATTATATATGTTAAGTTCGCGTTTGCTTTTTGTACATTCACAAAATATTTTTTACTTTTATAACCATGGGTATGAAGAAAAAGACCAAGTCTATTGAATTAAGGCGTGAAATTATTGAAAAATATAGGGATAGCGAGTGTAACACATCATAGATATTATGTATTGTGTTTAAACAGAAGTAGTTGTAAAGGGTATAACTTCCGCTAAGGGCCTTACAATAATTTAAAAGCAGCTTTCTGATCTCTAAAAGTTTGTGGACAAAATTCACCCCGAAAAAGTTGCAAGAGTTTGAGCATGAAATTTGTTTAACAAAGTACTTAACTCATTTCCGTCATATCATAAAAAACATAGAAAAAAACAATAATTAAATTAATAAATAGGTAATTTATTTTAATATTCAAAAATCTTAGCAGAAACTACAGTACTGGTACAAATTAAGAGCTTTTCAATGCTTCATATACAAACTTCAAATAATCCATTCTTAAAAACCAAGCTTAAATAAATTATCTACTTCTATTTTTAGTATTCAATGCAAGATGATAAAATATCTTCGGACATTAAAATTACTTCCGTGGCTGATTGCTTCACAAATAATATTGAAATAAAAAGAAGAATTTGTTCGTTACTCACCTAGGTCTGACATTTGTACAATCATTGACAATTTGTTTGACATCAATTTTTCACTATATATTTTATTATGCAATATCATTAAATCATACATTATAATTAATTATTGAATTCTAATTATCAATATCTCTTAATTGCGTTTGATGCATTAGTTAAATTACTCTTAGAAAAAGCTGTCAAATTTTCTAGAAAGGCACCGGTCTAACTGCTATATCAACTTGACGTTAAAAATAATAAATTTGCGTTGGCCAACGTAGTGCTGCGCTCTGTTGCCACCAAATGGAACAAAAAGTTTTTAAATAAAATCTTAATATTTGAAGGCATGTTATTCGAAATTAACTTCAGATTGTGAGGTTCATATAATAGCAACATAAAAAAGTTTATAAAGTAAAGTGGCCTAGACAATGTAATAATATGGTAAAGTGGCTTTCAAAGCACTGTCAACCCCTCTATAATGCGGTAAAAATCCATATTACGCAGAGCTGAAATCGCAACAGCCCTCTAAAAACGCGGTTTCCGTTGAACAGGCGTTCCCCCGAAGTTTCTTAGTCGAAGGTAAATAATTACAACTAGTATTGATACAATTTTATAATACCTGAATTCAAGGCTTTGCTATACATTACAAATCTCAATAATAATAATTATTTTCTAATAATTATAAGAATTTAAAATTTAGCATTAAGTATGCAATATAATAATGTGAAATACGAAAAGACCCTGAAAAATATAGTATAAGCTAACGTAGTTGTTTCAAGATATTTCATTATCATTTACACAATGACCAAAGTATTTTCACATATTACCCCCTACAATAATAAGAATTGTACAAAAACACATTTTAAACGTATATAAATAATTTTATTTCAAGGATTCATGCATAGCATATATAAATAATTTTAAAAATATATAATTTACCCCATACCTTTAACATACATTTTAATTAATATCTAAATAAAATTTATGTAAATATTCAATAATTTTAAATGATATAAAATCTAATCATCCGATATATATTTGAGGGCATGATTATTAATAATTAACAAGTATACAGTAAATATATTCATTTCGACATAGCATCTAATAATTGCTTCTATATTTTTTACATTCTTCTTCGAGATGTGAAACACTATGATCAATTGTTGATTGTGTTTCTCAAGATCATGCAAAGTTGTAAGAATCTGAGTTTCACGTTCTTTTCTCAGCATTCGTGATCTTCTAGATGCTTCGTTATTTTTATTTCTTAATTCTCTGTATTTAAAATCATCTTCAGTTTCTCCAGGAAAGAATTCCACTTTTATAGAAGACCCCGGAAGTTTAGGTGGGCGCCCTCTTTTCTCTTGCTTTTTCTTGGCTTTTAAAGTTGTTGACAGGTGCGACTCAATAGATAAGTTATGTCGATGTTTAGATTTTTTATTATTAGCCTTAATGCACAAAAATTGTTAACTGGTACATGTTTAGTTGCATCACTTGAAACTGAGCTAATGCTTGTAGTATCGTTCTGCAATAAAAAAAATTATATAGTTAGAGATATATAGATTTAAATTTTATGTGATTTTCAATAGCATAATATTCATAATTATGTATGAAACAAATAAAGACAAAAAAATTAGCAGAATGAAATAAGAATTACTTACATCTATGTAGGAAAGCAGGTTGAAATCACTTTCCAATGACATGGCATTGGTCGATGACATCAGGAGTGTTAACTAAACAATCTAACTCTCCGTACCAATTTTATATTCAACAAGGTTTACTTGAATCAATTAGGAAAATCTAGACAAAAGACAATTATCACTTGCTGTAATGGTTTCTAATTTATCACTTTCAAGTATGTCATTAGATATAAGCTGAGATCAATAGACTGCTCCCAAACACTTCATCTGAGGATTATAAGGTCTGGAGATTCTAAATTTCGATAGTAGTGTCGGATCTGTTATTAATGAGTGAAAATTGTCCATTGGATCAACAACAGTGTAAGTGTCAAAGAATAT